TTTTGAGACTTCATTATGAAGTTTACGGACTAAGGCTCTGATACCAACTTAATTGTCACGCCCCGGACCTATCCGGACACGTCAACAACCCGCCGTACAATACGAATAGTCAACCGCAGTCCAACACATTCATATTATACAAGGCGTCTTGAATATCATTCACACATATACATCCATAAACAAACATAATAAGTAATTCATAACGCAGCGGAAAACATTGTTTAAAACAAAAGGGCCACACATGGCTATTCATGAGCACGCAGGCTCTATTGTAAAATATCCATGAGCATGTTTATTAATGTTTGAAAACCGAATGGAGGAAGCACGAACCAAGTCTTCCCTCCTAGATGAATCACTCGAGCAACGAGCACAGGAAGCACGCTCTAGCCTCAACCTGAAAAATGGTAGTGGGACGCCCCCGAAGGGGTCAGCACTCTATAGGGCTATAAAGTGCTGGTGTGGATGGCATCTAATAGATATACAACAAGTATTTCAAACACAAGACCCTCAATTAGGGTGATAATATAATCTAGGCCGTAACCCCAAGTTACCCCTTTTCAAAATATACTTACTTTATATATAAAGTCAAGTAGTCGGCCCGTAGGCCCAAGGTTTGTTTATCAAACATAGCCCAAAACCCCGTGACCCCTAGTCACAACAATACATAGGGTTCAACCCTAACACATATATTTGCATTCTCGAGTCCAACTCGACTACATCACCATGCATCTTATTTAACACAAGTTAACTACTCCACCGTGCATTTCTTGAGTCCAACTCAACTACATCACCATGCACAACAATCACCTCATCATGTCTACCCAATGCAATTCTATGAGCACGGGCTCAAGTACATCTCCTTACATTGGCATAGACCCCAATTCCTAAGCACTCACTATGCCTAGAATTGTAATATCAATAATCTATTTTGGGACATCCCTATGGACTGCCCAACCATGGTCTTAGCATCACATTACATCAAACTTGTCACTTGCATCACAATCAAGTACATCAATTATAATCAAATCCTTATATTCAACTCCCTTAACAATTACAACAATCATTAACTAGTATTTCAATACTATTAAGATTATTCTTATCCATCATATATTCCATTTGTAAAACCCTACATACTTAGAGATATGTAGCAGCAACTTAATCATTCCATGTAATACATAAATAACCATTTATGTAACCACATAATTCATACATGAGCAAAATGCCTATTTCACAAAAATAGTTCATTTATACTCATTTAACCTCATAATATTCATACATTCTCAAATCATTTCAAATTTCATTCTTTGGCAACTATATCAATATTTCATCAATATATAACCATCATAATTCATGAAAAATAATGATTTAAGCATTTAGGTAATCTCATGCTTAACCTACAAGTTGTAAGCAATTAGATGTCAATCCTCACCTCAATTGAGCTTTAAACTTTCCCTTCTTGGTCCAATGGTCAAATCTTTGGTCAAGGTGGATTTGGGACTGATTCCTTGCTCAAATATGAGTGTTAAACAGCCTCCTCAAAGTGCTAGTTCAAACCTTAATCGTTGATACGAAAACAGCCCCTAGAACGGGTGTTTTCCGGCTAACTCGATTCCTAGTTTTCCAATATTTGCATCTAGGTTAGTATCTAACCTTTACATCAATAAGATAACTTTTTAGGGACATATTATACACTTGGATTAGTGTATAATAGTCTCACCAATCGTTCATATCATTTGGAGAATGAAAAGTAAAGCTTTGGGGTTAAAACTCACTTTAGAAGATTAAATCCTCTCCTGCGAGGTTGTGTTTTGCTCGGACGATTTGGAAGCCTTCCACAACTCCGATTCCTGCAAACCAGACCTTCACGGATTCCTCGTCTTGAGAGCTTTCTGTGGGTATCTCACACGCCTTAATTGGACTTGTAAAACTCGAGATATCGACCAAACAGTCTCAGCACTCTCACAGCTCGAGTTCACAGACCTCTGCTCGTTCCAGCTCGATTTTTGGATGATTGCTCTCTCTAATCGAACAAAGGCCACTCAATTGAGATACTAGACTTCAAAAGCTATCCAAGGACACCTCATACACGTTATTTGGTTGAGGATAGCTCCTATAATGAGAGGAGACAAACAGCACACCAATTTGTGCGAAAATAAGAGTGGTGGCCCCAAACTTTGATTCTTATCAAGTCATGTGCAGCTCTTCTCCATAATGGCCGGCCAAGGTAAGTCTCCTAACCCATTTTTATTTGTCTTGCAGGTACTAATATCATGTGGAGTGGTTCCCAATTGATCCCAATCATTTTGGGATCCAAATTATCTACCAATACTTCCAAAAATGGGGAAAATGGGTCCTATTGTTTTATCTTTGTCAAAAGATGTCTTTTTGTACTCATCCTAATTTATTTAGAACAAGTCAACTTCTCAAATTACATTATTGATCCCCAATATGTGTAGGCTCATCCCAATAATTTACTTGGTAGATATTATAGAAGGAAAATCCTACTCCCATTATTTAGCTCAATAAGGCCAAAGGTGGGGTTATAGGTATTTGTATTCTTCTTTAATCATCCTATCACTTATTTGACATTTGTCATACATATTATTGGGCTACTAGCCGTGTGGGTCACTCCCGAGTGGGTCTAGAACGCCATTCTCGAATACTTGCTATTTTAGCAGGTTGGGCTCAAAATAACGTTTGGGCCGTCCGACCTTACTCGGATTGTCTTGAAAGATTATGTATCACTATTTGGAAAATGTTGGGCTCTTTTATTTATTAATAAGACCCAAGTGGTATTTGCATGCCCGACACTAATATACGAGTTCGAACAGTACACTAATCGATCATTAATTACGTAAAACATTAATCGTTTTACAAATGTTTGGGAACCAGAAATCCAATACATAAACTTTGAATTTTAAATCAAATTTTCAAGGACGTTCGGGAGCGGTGTCACAATTTATGTATGAAAATTGGTGATAAATCATGAAAGATGACATATATGTACGATAAAAATTAATATAATGGATGAAAATGTGATATGTATACAAAGTAATTGTATTAATAAATTTTAATGACTACAATTATGTTTATGTTTAAATTGATATGAAATGACCACAAAGTCATATATTTACAGTAACTTTAGTCACATGGGGAACATTCTACGAAGTAAAAAAAAAAGCACAGTGGTCCAAGAAATAGTGATTTTTTTTTTTGAAAATCGACATATTAATTATGATGAAAACTGAGTTTGAGATAATTAGCATTCTCGAAGAGCACGTAACTCTATTTAAGATAACATTGTGAGTTCTTTTTGTGCTTAATGTATACTACTACGTATGTATTAACTTATACGTAGTACTTCCTATTTCCTTATACTATAATATTGTAAATCATTGTGTGTATTAGTGCGCGTACAAATTAGAGTCCCGATAAAGTGCAAAACTCAATCCTGAATAAATCATTGTCTATTTTTATTACTCAATGGTGAGTCAAGTTAAGGATGTTTTTATTTGGATTATAATTGTCCTAAACCAGATTAGACCAGTTCAATTTAGATCAGACCAGACCAGTAAATTGCAATCAAAGTAACATTCCTAAGTGCAAATTGTATTTTGCTCACAAATGAGTAGGGGCTTCACTAGGATAGTAAGATGAAACAAGATAAATTTAGGTGCTGTTCTGTTCGTCTTAATCTTATTACTTATTGCTTATTCTTATTTTATTCAGATCAGATCAAATCAGATCAGAAAAATTCAGATCAGATCAGATCAGAAAGATTCAGATCAGATCAGAATCATTCAGATCAGATCAAAAAGATTCAGATCAGATCAGAAACATTCAGATCAGATCAGGAACATTCAGATCAGATCAGGAACATTCAGATCAAATCAAGAACATTCAGATCAGATCAGAAAAGTTCAGACATAATTTATCATTTTTATTATAATAATAATAATTATAATAATATTTATAATAATTATAATAATTATAACTATTATTATTCTTGTTGTTATTGTAATTAGTATAATTAATATTATTATTGATATTATTATTATTATTATTAGTATTATTATTCTTATTATTATTATTGTTATTATTATTGTTGTTATTATTATTATAATCATCATCATCATCATCATCATTATTACTATGATTACTATGATTATTATTATTATTATGAAATTTAATATTATCATGATTATTATTATTATTCTTACTACTAATATGGTTGTTGTTGTTGTTGTCATTAGTTTTGTTTTCGTTATTATCATATTATACGGAGTAATTAAAATTAAAATTATAGAAATAAATATTATATATATAATTAAAATTATAATTATATAAATAAATATAACTATAAATATAATTACAATTATAATTATAGCTATATTTATAACTAGTGTAATACGTATAATAATAATTATACCTATTATAATTATGTTTGTAATTATAATTATAATTTTTATAATTATGATTATGATTATAATTATATTTATATTTAAATTATATATGTGTAATTACATTTATAATTATAGTAATTATAATTGTAATTATAATTTTAGAAATATTTAAATCAGATCAGATCAGAAAAATTCAGATCAGATCAGAAACATTCAGATCAGATCAGGAACATTCAGATCAGATCAGGAACATTCAGATCAGAAAGATTAAGATCAGAAAGATTCAGATCAGATCAAAAAAATTCAGATCAGATCAGAACTTAAAAAATTCAGATAAGAAACATTCAGATCAGGTGAAGAGAACAGCTTCTTAGTTTTTCTACTCAATTTCGACAACAGATGACCGCATAGCGCAGTGGATTAGCGCGTTTGACTTCGGATCAAAAGGTCGTGGGTTCGACTCCCACTGTGGTCGCTTTTTGCAAATCAGATTGGTTTCCGTCAAATTTTTAGTCGTTCTTTTACCGAATACTTTCTTTTTTCTTTTTTGGGTTTCTCTGTGATTCGCTTTTTGCACAAACAGTCAAACAGAAGTTACAGAATGTTTTCCGTCAAATTTGTAGTCTTTCTCTTACCTAAGTCCTTTCTTTTCTTTTTGGGTTTCCCTGCGATGTTTAATCTGATCCTCTCCCGCCCACAGAGCCGAGCCTGAAGTCTGAAAAATTCTTCCATGAACACTCTCCGTCGATCCATCTCCACTCTGACCCACTCCCCGAACAATCTTTTCCAATGCAACAAGCAAATACAGGACTTCTTCCGTCTGGGGCAGGTCAGCCACGCCCGGCAGCTGTTCGACGAGATGTCTCAAAGAGATTCTATCACATGGAACCTAATGATATCCGGTTACTGTAACAATGGCCGCCTTGATGATGCAAGATGCCTTTTTGATGCTTTTCAAGGCAAGAATGTCCGGACTTGGACCTCAATGCTCTCTGGGTACGCCAAAGCTGGAAGAGTATATGACGCATCCTTGATCTTTCATGCCATGCCGGAGAGAAATGTTGTCTCCTACAATGCTATGATTACTGGGTACGTATATAATGGGGATGTTCAAAGTGCAAGGGTGCTATTTGATGGCATGAGCGAGAGAAATATGGCTACCTGGAACTCCATGATTATGGGTTACTGCAGGAGGTGTTGGATGCACGAGGCACGTGAACTGTTTGATGTGATGCCTGAGAGGAATGAGGCTTCGTATATGGTTATGATTTCTGGTCATGTGGCAATTAGTGAGTATGAGGAAGCATGGAGGGTGTTTTTAGATATGCACATGAGAGGTGAGGCTAGACCGGACCAGCCAATATTATTGGCTGTGATGTCGGCAATCACTGGATTGGATGACGTGAGATTGGTTGCTTACTTTCTGCCACTTGCAATGAAGATAGGATACAGTGATGATGTTGTTGTAGGGACTGCAATTCTTAACACCTTTAGACGAACTATGAGTTTTGATTCTGCCTTAAAGTTTTTCAATGATATGCCAGAGAAGAACGACTACACTTGGAGCACAATGATATCAGCCTTCTCCCAGTGTGGAAGGTTGGAAGATGCGATTCTGTTGTATAGACAAGTTCCAGAACAAAACATTGGGACCCAGACTGCAATGTTGACTGCCTATGCCCAACATGGAAGGATGAATGAGGCGAGGCATATCTTTAACAAGATCAAGAGCCCGTGTGTACCTACCTGGAATGCCCTTCTTAGTGGATATGCACAAAACAGAATGGTTGAGGAGGCAAGGGAGCTGTTTTTTACCCAAATGCCTACCAGGGACATGGCTTCTTGGGGAACAATGGTTTCTGGGCTTGCTCAGAGTGGGGACAACAGAGGAGCTTTAGAGGTATTTGTTGAAATGCACAGATTGGATATCACTCCAAACCATTCTATTTTAACTAGTGCCCTATCTGCTTGCGCGAACATGGGAGACGTTGTTATGGGTAAACAGCTACACTCTCTCACCATCAAGACAGGGTGCCAGTTTAATTCTTTCATAGGGAACGGATTGATAAACATGTATGCTAAATGTAAGAATATAGAAGATTTTTCTCGGGTATTTGATGTCATGAAAGTCAGAGACAGAGTTTCTTGGAACTCGCTGATCTCAGCCTTTTCAGAGAACAACATGCTGACAGATGCTGTTGAAGTATTCAAGATGATGCCAGACCAAAACGTTGTGGCTTGGGCCACTTTGATATCTGCCTATGTCCAAGCTGAACAAGGTGACATAGCTTTCCAGTTATTCCATGACATGCTGAATGATGGAATAAGACCAAGTGAACAAACAGTCACTAGTCTACTGAGTGCGAGTGGGAGCCTCGGTTCCACAAAATTAGGGGAACAGGTTCACGCGTTAGCATATAAAGTCGCCTTGGATCTGCGCTTGTTCGTTCATAATGCACTCATAAGCATGTATTTTAAGTGTGGGTCCCACAAAGGATTTCAGGTTTTTGAGGATACGGTGGTCGAACAAGGAGACATTGTCACTTGGAATGCTGTTTTAACCGGTTGTGCTCAGAACGGGTTAGGCAGAGAGGCCATCAATATTTTTGAGAGAATGAAGTTTGCAAAGGGCGTCCCTAACCAAGTAACCTTTCTTCAGCTATTGTCTGTTTGCAGCCATTCAGGGCTAGTGGATGAAGGTTTGAATTATTTTGATTCAATGATTCGGGATTATGGCATTCCGCCTTCAATCAATCACTATACGGCAGTAGTTGATCTTCTTGGGCGGGCCGGTAGACTCTCTGAAGCAGAATCACTGGTAAACAGTATGCCTATGAAGCCAGACACTGTTATCTTGGATTCTCTCCTTGCTGCTTGTAAAAATAACAAGAACACAAACCTTGGCCAGAAAATTGCAGAAAGACTATTTCGGATGGGTACAAAAAAATCAGGAGCATATGTGTTGCTATCAAACATTTATGCTTCCCAAGGCATGTGGGAGGAAGTTGGGAACATACGAAGCACAATGCTGAAACGGGGAGTAAATAAAGAGCCAGGTTTTAGCTGGATCTATATCAAAGGAAAACTGCATTCTTTCCTTGCAGGCAATAAGAGTATGATGGAAGAGCAGTTGACAGAGATTTCTTCAATGTTGGAAGATTTTTGTGTACGGTTCAAACCAATGGGATATTTTCCTGACACGAAATTTGTTTTGCATGATGTGGATGAAGAGCAAAAGGAAGGCGAACTTCTTTACCATAGTGAAAAGATCGCTGTGGTCTTTGGCATCTTGAGATTGCCACAAGGTTCGCCCATTCAGGTTATGAAGAATCTTCGTATCTGTGGCGACTGCCATATTTTCATGAAATTCTTATCCAAAGTAACACAACGCAAGATAGTAATTCGGGATGGTAATAGATTCCACCACTTCCAAAATGGCATATGTTCTTGTGGAGATTACTGGTGATCGTTTCCTGGGATAGTGCTTATAGAGGGATTTACTGAAACCATGTTCTGTAAATGGTTAAATAAAATGTTGGAAATTTTATGCAAAAACTCCTTGCTGTGATGCTGGTCCAGACCTTGGACAGAAGGTGAGTTTTGAGATGCAGAACACATTCTTCTCCATCTTAGGCTTTTGGGATATGAGGTGAGTGCATCCAACTGGTATTGTTTGGTGAATTTATGAAGCTTAGAAAGGTCTTTGGCTGATCTTATGCCCTTTTTCTTGGAGAGTTTCCATGAGATCAAAATATTCTTTTAGTGATCCATCCATTAAATTAAGCATGAATGACTAATTCACACCTAGTGGAAAACATCAGAGGCATATTTGCACTTCTCTCCAATCTTAACTTCGAACAACAACAGATACTCATTTACTTGCACTTCTCATCAAGGGCATACTTTCACATCTCTCCAATCTTAATTTATTATACTTTAATAATATACTAAATTAAAATATCATATACTTCTAATAATAGTATAACATGGACTACGGAGTAGTGATTAGTGTGTGATAATGTAAACCTTCTCTAATTTTACTAATATTATAGTAGTACTTGTTAAGTTAGTATTATTTGAGAACTATAATCAAATTTATATGTTTATTGTTTAAATTGTTATCAATTATAATTGTAATATTGTAACTTTTTTTATATTCCATAAAAACCTTATTACTCGTTGCTTGTGTTTCTCTAACATCGTTCATGAGGCTATCTCAACCTCCTAACTTTAGGCTATCTTTCCTTTTCTCCTCTAGACAGTTACAAACCTTATGAGTCAGGAACAGAAATCCAAACCAAATCTCTATTTTCTTGGTTTATATTTTTCCTCACCTCAAGCATTAGTCAGACCTTGTAGCTTTTAGCTTTTTATAACTTCGAGTTCCTTCAGATTTTCTTCTACACAGACAACTGGTGTAGATTAAAATGCAAGATATTTGCACTGGCTGGGCTCATCTACCTCAGTTACCTCATGTTTCAAACCACATCTTAGTTTGACCTTTATTCTCCTATCTGGTCCATTCCAGCAATGATCTCCATTTGTGTAGCCTTTCTGAAAGGGAAAATATTATATGTGTACTTGTTTTTCTTGATTTCAAAACATTGACCATGGAATAAATAGAACTCCTTCTGTGGCCCGAAATCGTGTTTCATTATCTTTGTCAATTTAGATATCCTCGACTGAAGCTTTGACAACTTAGCACTTGAATCATCATATTCTTTGCTTATGCGTGCAGCCTCAGATATGTCTACTGGATTTTGGAACAAATTGAAAGTCTGAAGAATTCTCTGAGCATTTCTTTCTCTTCTCCAGCCAATGTGGATTGCTTGTGCTAGAAATCCAAGTCATCGTCGTCTGATGATGATGATGAAGATGGTGAACTTGAATAATGATCTTCCCCTACAAAATCATCCCCTTGATCTTCAGCTTCATCATCAGATAGTAAAGGGGATGAATTCGAGTCGCTGTGATCTTCCTCGCTAAGTTCATCCATTTGGTCTTCAGGATCATCATCTGAGTCGAATGTATTGTATTCTTCATCATGGTCACCATGATAATCTTTATCGGTCTTGTCCTCTCCAGATTCCTTCTCATTCTTTTTTCCTGTGATCCTGTCCAACGAGGACCAACTACACGGCCCATCAAGGATTCAGTATCTTCAGTTTCGTCTTTCACCTCATTTGCGCTTCTAAGAAGAACAGATCCATCATCATCTGCAGACAACTCCTCCTCTATCATGGCATGCTTGTGTGAGTCCTGTGCCACCCTCTCAGCTTCATCGCGGGCGGTCTCTTCCATTATTAAAATGTCAATATTGTCAGCTTTGTCCACTTTACTGCTATAAATCTTCTACCTCATTCTCTACAGAAGGAGCTTTTTCTGAGGGAATATCTTCACGGAGATCTTTCAACTTTACAGCTTCCTCATGGTTTTTCTCATTTTTGGTATCCTCCAACTTAGCTTCTTCAGTTTCTCTCTTTTCTTTCTCTTCCTTCTCTCTTTGCAATCGTTTTTTCTCTTCGGCCTTTTCTACCTGTTCCTTGTGCTCAACTATCTTTTTAACTATCTTCTCCAATTTTGCTAGTTTCACCAATTCTGCTTCCTCCAAATTTTCCAGTTTTGCCTTATCAACTTCCGAATTCCTTATAATAACACATTTTTGATATTTTGTGATTCTTTTCTTTAACCTATCTCTAGCCTCCTTGCCAGCCTCCCAGCACATATTAGGGCACTTTGTTTTGCCACCATACTCATCACTCCCATCACAGCTATCACAGATACCATCGTTAACCCTTGATGAATATATAAGGAGGGTTGTATGTCCTGCATTTCGGCAATAGAACTTGCCACTGGGGCATGCTGAGGTTCCTGGCTCATTGGAGCCATAAGGACAATCACAGAAATCATCATTGAGCTGAGCCACACTGAATTTAATGATCCGTTTTTGCATTTTATGGCAGCTCCGGATGACAATCCACTGTAGGGTCTGTAGTACTTCTCATCTTGAGGAGAGATTCCAAGGAAATCTCTGGAAGGGAGAGATACCACTGATCTGCTGATCAACTTAATGCAAAGCAATATTGACCAGAATAAGAGGCGCCGAACTCGTAGCAGCATCCTCACTAATGTAGAACTGTGGTGCTCCGAAGCAAACTGAACTAGCAGATGGATGGATGGAGGAGGAGTGGAGGCGCCGACCGCGCTGTCTGAAGATCGCCAGAGATGAGTGAGACTGGCAAATGAGCAGGGCCAGGAAGCCATTGTAATATTGTAACTAATTACATACATAATTCCAATCCTCTCCTTAACAGCACTACAATTCTCACAACAAAAACTCCCGCCTACCTCTCATTCTACAACATCCGTTCGATTCCTAAAATATAATCAATGGCCTCTACATTCCATCATACACCCTTACCTTTTAATGAGTTCTTTCCTTCAATGCCTATACTAGACTTCCATTATCGACTTTCGTTCACTTAGCCAATCATAGGAGCATTAGAAGACTGGAACGGCGGTTCCTTCGCTTCCCAATTACCTTTGCCTTTCTCACTTCGCCATAGCCTCATTCTGTGTCGTCAAATTATGTACTGAATCAGGTAATCTTCCCCTTAAAACTATTTTATTTTTATTCTTTTCGGCTCTAAATCGGGTTCATGTTCATCTTTCAGAGTTCGGGTTTGTTAGAAAATAAATTCATTACTTTATGGGTTTCGATTGATATTGCGGAAATCATGTTCTTCATTCATCTTCATCATTAAGATGAAGCCTTAGGGTTATGATACTTCGAATCTTCAATGAATGGTTCTGTCAAAACCAATGATTTGGCAGTTTAGGTTCACACATATAGAAGATTACTGATGATTATAAATGTGTTTGTATATTTCGTTTTTTATTAATTATTACTACTCAAAGGGTTGATCTTTTTTGCCTTTGAGCAGAGGATTCAGTCATTTTTGTTCTTCAATTTCACTTTTTAAAATTACTCATCAACATATTGTATTTACTTAAGGTGTAAAATGTATATCCCAACTACTGAAAAACATGTACAACAATTTGATATTTTGTCCTCACATGAAGGAAAAAAGATTGATGGTGAGCAACTACTTCTAATTTTAGAGGCAGAAACTCTTGGAAATTATGAGACATACTCAAATATTTTAAATCTATACTTCTTAGAGAGTAGGTTTTTTTAAAAGTGTTTCTCTTTGTTTTTTTATCGTTAAACTTTTGATTATTTTCTTGGTTTACATGTTCAAACATATTTGAAGTATAAAATTCAAAAATCAAATGTTCAAGTAACTTAAAGTAAAAAAGCATAAAACAGCTATCTATGAATATGAATAGGAATTTCAAATTGCAAGCAAAAAAATGATTATGGCATGAAGGTCCCATTGTTCTTTGTTTTTCCTTGAGGGAGGATCTCTTTTTGCCCTTCACCGGTATCTCGTAAATCCATCTCTATTAATTTTGCTTCTCTGCCTCTCTTCATTTGCACCTCCCTCTGTTCTACTCTTCTAGTCCTCTTACACAATATATTGAAAATGCATTTTTTGGACTAGATACAGAGTAGATTTATTTACAAAAATAACACAGCTTAGAAAGGTTGTAATTGATTATAAGTAATTCTGTAGTACATAAAATGTCATAATCTTGAGTTAGAGCTTGTTATAGATGTATTTGTAACTTGTTTCTTAATTTTTTATTAATTTTTTCTGGTCAAATGTTTCATTTTTTTTTTGCCTTCTAGCAGATGATTATAATCAATGTTCTCATGTAGGTATTTACTTTCAGAAGTTTAACTAAAGAGGATTTGCTGATTATTTTGTGATTTAATATGGTTCATTCAGCTTACTTTCTTACAAATATGCATATAATGGGAATACGAACACCTCAAACTAACAATGGTTGACTTAAAAGACTTCACTTCAACTTAAACATGGCAAAAAACAATCCAGATTGAACCTTCTAAAATTTAAAAAAATAGGTTTTCAACTGTTAGCCTAAAATTCTTTCTTCATTTTTTGAACCTTGGTATCACCCAAGAACTACCAGGGGTTTAATATATCACGTATCAATATATTTCGTGTTTGATCATAAGGCATGTTTCTCCTTTTGCAGCAGGGTTGGACTTTTTCAAGTGTTTAATTAAACCTTCAAGTTGCTCTATAACTTGTATATGGTTTACGTTGATCTAATTTTCAATTAGACCTTTTTCTATTATGGTAGTGAGGAGATGCTCTAAGATTATGGAAACAAGGTTCATAATATACTTGGGGATAACATACTATCCCCCTATAATGAAGAAGCTATTGGTGGATCAATGCATCAAGCACCTCCAGTTGATCAAGAATTGCTTTGTAGTGTTAAAGATCTTTGAAGAAAGTCCTTGCATCAAATGGTTAAACAGCTGGTATGCTGTATAACGCTTGAGATAAACACTTGGTATATATCAAACTTGCATATATAAATGCATTATTTAAATTTATTATGTTTGAGAAAGTCATCAGGTGTATGTCATTTAGGAAGTCTAATTTACCTCTAAGAGAAGACCTTAAAATGTTATGTCATGAAAGGAATCGTAATTGAAATACAACTACAGCAAATCATATTGTTCAATATCTATGCATTTATCGTAATTGAAATGCAACTATGGCAAATCATATTGTTCTGAAAGCGATGGAAGACAACTTCATTGGCAAAAGTAGACATAATACAAAAGTTCTATCACATTATTCACTCTCTTTCCTTTATTGATTTTTTCTTTAAAAAAGATTTACAATCAATTATTGCCCTCACTTATTCTTGCCCTCATTTTCTTCCGCCTTCATATTATTTCATATTCTCCGATTGCCCTCATCAAAATCATCACCAAAATGACTGACAAAACTGCATATTTCTTGCATTCCATTTCTTCCTTCTTCATTCAGCTATGAAATTTCATTTTCAGTAATCTGTTTTTTCCTTTATTTATTCCTTCACATTCAATTTCTTCATAATTGTCTGTAATGCAGAGGAGATTGAGGCTGAGGAGATTGAGGCTTGGATGTTGTTGTTGTAGAGGAGATTGAGCTATCTTCTACCTATCATCAGATTTTGGTTAGCAATAGGGCTAAACAAAGTATTCTTCAAGCAGTTTTGGGCTCTTGGCAATATGTTCTCTCAGAGATGAGGTTTTCATGATTCCTAATTCTTTTTTCCTAATCCAGACAATACTTCTTTAGTGTAGAGGAAAATGGTGGATCAATGCATCAATTCTACACTTCAATTCTTTCCTATTCTCTCACCTTTGAATTCTTGATAATTTTCTTTAGTGTAAAGGAAAATGGGCTGCTTCACTTTGCGCTGTAGTTGAACAGTTGAACATGATAATAGTAATCATTTACTAACCTGATTTTGTGGATAAACTTTTAAGATAATAGGTTATAAAAAATGCAGCTTATAAGTCATACACATGTAGTTTGCTTTAAAAATTTGAGATTAGAGTTAGATGAATGTAAACAGTCCATAAAGATGGAGTGCCTAAACATGCGACACTATCTTTTTTTAATAGTTAAATGATTTGAATTGATTGATCTGAAAATGATAATTAGAATTGAATAGATTGGTCTGAAAATGATTCAATAGTGAAATATTTTCTTCACAACATGCAACACTGTCATTTTTATTATCATTTCAAAGATAAATTTTATTGAAGATAAAATGCATATGCTTGAAGACCAATACTCCTAGATCTCAAAGCAAAAGAATTGAAATTACACTTGGAAAATACTTTATGTATGTTTTGCAATTACGTTTAATTGCCTTTTAAGTTCCCCATCTCTCATACCAACCTAATATATTTGGGTGAAAAATGCATAATTCTTGGTGACTAAGGGAGTGTTTGCAAAAAAATTAAAAAGTGTTTTTCAGCTTTTGGCTTAAAAAAAGTTGAAATGAGTGTTTTAAAGTGACAACTTCCGCTTAAATTAAACACTTAAAAACTAAAAGTTGGAAGCAGGTGGAACGGTGTTTAAAGTGCTTTTCACTTTTTCTATTACACAAAAAACATTCAGTTTACTAAAACACTATCAACTTTTACTTTTCTGAAGAACATTTTTCTCAAACACCTATCAACTTTTACTATTAAGCATTTTCTCCAAAATTCCTTTAAAAGATCACTTTTTAAAGTAGAAGTAACCGCAAACATTCTCTAAGCCTTGACAAACATGAAAATGACCTGAATCAATCAAAAATATTACTATAAACTTGGTATTTTTTTAGGGCAAGAGGTGAAGTTTTCATGATTTCTGATTCTCCCCCCACCCAATCGAGACAACAGCAGAAAAGGTTTGTGAAGGCAGGAAATGTATAATGTAGAGCAGCAGCAGCAGCAGTAGTAATTCTATTGTTGTACGTTTCTTTGACATTGAACTCGATGTCTGATTCAAATGTGATAAACAATGCAGAGGCATTCTTTGTTGCTGATTTATGAAGGGGTTAGGTACATATACTACAAAAATACAAATAGCCAATATGTCCAGGCTATACATGTAGTCAGGTTGCTGGGGTAAAGATTAGACTTCATGTCTTGGAGGCAGGCTATGTAAAATGGATTTTAATTCTTAATAGCTGGAATGTAATATTTAGGCTGACAATGGTAGAAAGAGTTTTGCGTGTGAAATGAATTCCACTCTTGTAATTACCTGATTCAAGTCACTTTTTCTTCTTATTGACTTAGATTTTTTGTGATTTTACCAAGAAGACCAAATTATTTACTTCAACCGATTCAACGTATTACTACTTGAAAATGAGATAAAAAGTGTGCATCATAATTTTTTGGCTATTATTGCTTCTTAAATGGACCGAGTGATGACATTTCTACCTTCATTTTATTATTTCCTCTAATTCATAAGTTAATCTAATTGAGCCATATCAGAGAATTAATTCCTGTTAATCTCTCCCCCCAACAACTATTGTATAACTTGCTAAGGGCAATCGTAATCCATTATTACTGTGGACTTGACAAGAAAATAAGCGTAATACATACACACTAAGTACCTCATACAACAAACAAGAGTATTTGGTTACATGCACACATGCCAACACATAGGCTCATAGGATGAATCCAAATAATATTTTTTTTCAAGTGTTTAATCAAACCTTAAATGATATTTAGTTTTTTTAATTTTTTTCACAAATTTTATTCATATGTTTTTTTCAATTCAAGGAACACCTCTTTTAGTGTTCTGTTAGAGCTTGCCACAATGGAGAAAGTCCATCACTAATGCTCTGAGTCAAACACTAGAGCTAATATGAAAGAGTATTTTTCCAAAATATTACAAGTAAGCAATGAGTAACAGAGTAGAGCAGAATGAGGGAAGTGTGGATCAAATATTCACTCGAGCAAATCAATATTAGTTGGGTTCAATAAGGGATTACTACTTCATCCCTGTAAAAGTAGGAATCGGAATACAGCAGTATCAACTTGATAATCGAAACGAGGTAAATCTAGCACCCAGTTAGTTATGGATATGTTTTTTTATATTCCCACCGTCCCTGAGCAAAAGTGACTTGCCCGTAGAATAATAAAGTAAAAATTGTGTGGTTGAAATTTTTACGGAGGGAGAAATAATTGTAACCACGTATATGTTACTTTACATGGACATGACAAATTTTTTGGACATCTAAGAAACAAAATTTGGTCATATTTTATGGGACGGAGGTAGTATATATTTAGATGTAAAAATATTCATTTGTATTTATTTTGTTTGTATTTTCTTAATTTGTTTTGCTTTCTAAATATTCACAAGACAAAACATTGAAGTGTGCATATGCAAAGATGAAGGCTGAAAACCCGCAAAACATGTGATCTACTAGGAGATTTTCAACCATTTGTAATGTGAGTAATAATTTAATTTGTGATAGTAATTATTGTTATTTTTGTTGTTAATGATTTTGGATGTTTTTACTTGGACTGTAATATGTCCTAGATCAGACCAAACCAGACCAGATCAGACCAAACCAAACCAGATTTGGATAGTTATAAAAATACAAAGAAACAAGACCAGATCATACAGACCAGACCAGTTCAGACCAAACCAAACCAGCAAATTACAGTCTAAGTAAAAACATCCTTTATCTAGTAATATTATAGAGTGATTTGTGTAACACTGTTCAACTTCTATATTTTTTACTAATAGTATACTAGTTAAATTAGATTTTTGTGATATGAGTGCTCTTATTAGGGGTGGACTCGGGCCGGGTGGCCCGCCTCGGAACTGGCCCGACCCGGTCACTGTTTGAACCGGCCCGAACTGCCGGCCCGGTCAGGGACCGGTCCGGGTAGGCCCGACCCTCTGGGGTTCCAGGACGGGCTCGGGCCCTTCAAAAGGTGAACCGGTCCGGCCAGTTCGGGCCCAGTCCGGGCCATTTTTTTTTTTTGAATTTTTTTTCAGTTTTTGGGTTGGGCTGGGTATTTTGGGCCATTTAAGGTGGTTTGGGGGTGAGGGGGGAGGGTTGGGGGTTAATTAGGAAAAGCCAAAAAAAAAATTGAACCGAGGCTCGGCCTGGCCCGGTGTGACCCGGGGGTTACCCAGGCCGGTTCCGGGCCTCCCCTATCATGAACCGAGGCCCGGCAGGGCCCAGGCCCGAACCGGCCCGAGTCCACCCCTAGCTCTTATTTATAGTCATAGTGTTGTACTGCTATTTTTTTTTGAATGTTACACTGTTATTATTTTTATTCTTATTTAAATTAAGAGACTTTTCCTCAATATCATTACAAGATAAATCTAACGAAAATCTAAAGGCTAATACTTTTAATCTCCGTATATTACTATGAAAGAAAAAGATCCCAAACTTGCAATTATTGCAAAAAAAAAATCATTAACATGAAATCAAGGGAGTATGAAACCTTTCGAAAACAATTTCATGTAAAACAGGGCATAAAGGCGATATCGACAAAAGGCATAGGAATACAAACATTAACTTCAAGTAGTCATGGACCCGGTTCGGGCCACCCGGCCCGCTACTGTGCGGGCCCCGAACCGGCTCGGGTCCGGGTCGGGCCTAGGCCCGGTGGGGGGCGGGTCCGGGTTTGGACCTTGTATTTGGCGAACCGGCCCGGCCGGGTCGGGTCCGGGCCCAGGCCGAATTGATTTTTTTTATTTTTTTTTTCATTTTTTGGGGTTAGCCGGGTTGGGCTTGATGGTTAGGAGGGGTTTGGGGGTTTGGGGGGGGGGGGGTTAGGAAAGCAAAAAAAAATGACCAAACCGGAGGCCCGGCCCGGACCCAGTGGCTACCCGGGCCGGTCCCGGGCCTTCCTTCCCAAAAAAAAGCCCGGCCGGGCCGGCCCGGGTCCATGACTAACTTCAAGTTTTTAACTGTGCAATTCTAGGCAAGGAGCCGAGGACCAATGTGTGTTTAATTGAAAAAATGAGAATTTTCAAAAGAGATAAGGGTCAGATAGGGTCTCGAACTTGAAAAAAATGTCAAATAAGGCCATATTTAGGATGCTCCGTCCGGCCGACGCCATTTGGGGTGGTTCCCGGTAGAATTTTTTGATGATTTTTTTTTTAGAATCTTATTCATTACGTCTAGTTTACTTATATCAAATTTGAACTAAAACTTTAATCGGGAAGGCATTCAAATGAATTATTGAAGATAACTGTACCGGTAAAAGCGCAGTTATCTTCATGAATTCATTTGAATGCCTTCCCGATTAAAGTTTTAGTTCAAATTTGATATGAATAAACTAGACTTAATGAATAAGATTCTCAAAAAATTTCATCAAAAAATTCCAGCGGGAACCACCCCAAATGACGTCGGCCGGACAGAGCATCCTAAATATGGCCTTATTTGACATTTTTTTTCAAGTTCGAGGCCCTATCTGACCCTTATCCCTTTTCAAAATGATAACAAATTTTTTGGAATCTCAAAATACAACTATCATGTTTGTATTTTCTAAATAGGAATAATAACTGCAGGCATAAAACTTACTGTGAAATCTAGAAATGACACAACATTTTTTTTATAACATAACATTGATTGTTTCTATTTTAAAAAAAAAAACATAGTAGTTCTACTTTGAAAAGCACAAACATTTTTACCCTATTTATGACTTTAAAAAAAAATGGCGTTATTTTAATACTTTTGTCAAACACCTTTAATGTGTTCGCTAAGGGCTTGCAAGTAATTTGAAACCACATGTAAAAAAAATTAACTTTAATTTTTAGCTATAAAGATTAAAATTAATAGTTTTAAGAGACAAGACGGCGAGGAACCGGATACCAGGTAAACTGGTACACCTTGTTCACCTGAATATTGAAAGATTGTCAGTTTTATACTGTTACAAAAACAAGAACAGCCTCAGCAAACGTGCAATTAGAACACGCGACGACATACATAGAAACACTCAAACAGGTTCATAGATGCCATGATTTAAGCTGGCTATACTCTGCGCGATAAAGTGATAGCATCCTTCCTGAACTCATCTTCAACGACTTCAAGAATAGCTCATGTTGTGGTAATATCTTCCTGAGAAAGAATATTTGAGCAAATAATAAATGCTAAGAGTCCTTTATAAAGAACAACAAATAAAAAAATTAAGCCGGACATGTACATGAAATAGGAAATCATAATTATAATCACCAGAGGACTTAATCTGTGTTAAACTTAATCTTCTTTGGAGCCGTCTCAATGTTACCAACCTGCAGATGATAAGTAAATTTAGAAGATATCATTTCAACTCATTCTTAGAGGAGCTTAAGGAGAAGCTGTGGAGAAATATTATAGAAGCGCAATACCTGGTGCAACATTTAACTATTTTACTACAATATTGCAAGACAAGATAGGCCTATGACCATTTCCTCAAATATCTTGAAAACATATAGCACAGAGTACATTAACGCAATGACCAAAATCAAGAGGTTTTTCCTTGAATATTACTTAAATAAAACTGATGGACAAAACATGAATTAAGTTACTACAAGTGTATCATCATAGTCACTACAATGTAATTAGATCATCATCACAGCTATTAAAGTTATTATTATTGTCACTGAAGTATAAAAAGTCACTTCCATTCACCTTATTTTTAGTCACACAATAGTATTTGTCATTATTTCAAAAATCAATTCCTAGAGAATAGAAGCAAATTAACAATTGGAATGATGATAGACCAATAATACTCCCTATGTCCCAAAACGATATTTATTATTTTGCTTTTCAAGCCAAAATTCATTAATTCTGATCACTAAGGTTTATGCAGTAATAATTACTCTTGCAATTCTCTGGTTTGTTTCAAAATTATGTTCCTTTTCTTTTTAACAAAAGAATTGTGCAGATGATAATCCTCTTCAATTTTTAACAAATGTCTACCACAAAATTTTCATTTTCTTAATAAGCACGCCTCAAGAAATTGGGAGCTTGGGGCAGAGGAAATACTATTTTCCTAATTTCCAAACGCATTCTCACGGGGCATATGAGAAATCACAACAACAACGTCCAATCCTTAATCCCAAAAGAGTTTGGGGTAGAAAAAAATGAATCGGACATATGACGAGAGAAATCACAAATGATGTTTTTTATTTACTGTTTGAAGCAAGGATCTGACTATAACTACCATTCACACAGTTGTTCAGAGGAAAGAACATTGCTTTACGGGTTATGCTGAAGTGTGTTTGTGAGAAAGAACAATTAATGTCTACTTTTATAAAATTAATGATTCAAGAAAGAACCATACACTCTCCATTCATACACTTATTCCGATTACTAACCAGTATCCTAATATAACCCAACAACACTTACACCTGGTTTACTTCATACCTATAGTTTTTTAGTTGTAACGGCAATAGGGGGTGTTTGTATCTACTTAAAACTGCTTCTGCTTTTTCAAGGAGCTTAAACAAATATTGGAGTGTTTGGGTGATAGTGCAGAAGTACTTCTAAGTTCTCCAATTTGCTTCTAGAAGGCTAGAAGCAATTTTTTAGAAGCTAAGAAATCAGCTTCTGAAAAAATGATTATGATTCTACTACTTCTAAAAAAGAAGTGGAAGCAGAACCAATTCCAAACACCCCCTAAATGTAAAACTTTTAGTTACAGTGATCAATCTTTAAAACCACATTTTCTCTGTTCTTGAAATTTAAATATCCTTTATTGACACTTGAAAATCGAATGCATCCATTGCACTTTACCACGTGCCTAAGAGCATCACATTAAAAACTGATTCAGATTGGTTTTTCTTTTGGTTGTCAATTGCAATGCCATGGCCATTTAAAACTGATTCAGATTAGATTAGCAACCAACTCTGCTCTTACTGGCATCCAAATTTCAAAGTGAAGTAGTGGACTCATGGGCATTACACAACATGAGAGGCAAAACAATGAGGAATGTGCTCTTACAAATTCTGGGCATTCATAATCTATACCAGCAGCCTCAATCTTTTTAAGCCTCTTGCGATCCCGCTTCTTTATTCCTTCAACCAATTTCTTGTGTTCTTCCAGAGTTCGTTCCTGATTATTTTTTCATGAATGAAATGATATCAAGTAATGGAAACAGCTCATGTAGGGTTTTGGGGATGCATATGAGTACTAGTGTGTTAGAAGAGCCCTCATCTCCGTGTCGTGAAATACCTTGTTGTGATTCTTTCTTTCAATGTTGACCCAATCCAAACGTATGTACCTGCGGTTAGCATGCTTCCATCTACGGAAACAATAAAATATTATGCATGCACTCCATTTCCAAGCAGCTCTTTTTAAAATGAGAATTGCATGCACTTGGTGAACAATAGATACTGACCATAACTTATTTTCATTTTCTTGGGGGAGGGGCGTGCAAGTTGTTCTAACCTACCCATGTCTGTCAACGAATGTCTATTTCAACACTAATCTTGATGACTTCGCATAGAAAGTCCAATAAGTGTTAATCTATATTTGTACAATTCCAGCATTTCAAACAGAGATAAGCAATGAGACGATAACATATAAAGGGCTTCCCGCTACAATTTTCAGATTACCCCAAAACCACTCCCCAACAATAACCAACATTAACTCTCTCAGTCCCAAAATGATTGTTTTATAACATGTTTTTTACTAGTCATCCATAGATTCCCATTTTAACTTCTTACATCATACCTTGAAAAAATGCACTACATGTTGAGCTTAAATAACTATGTATAGTAGGCCTGTAGGGCCATTTGGTAGGTCACTTAACATGTGGGCACTCTGAAACGTCAACTATTTTGGTACAGGAGTAATAAGGAGTCACTTTCCAATAAAGAGTCCATACAATTTTGGATGAACACGCTCAGGAGGAACAATACGCACTTGCAGCACATGCTCAAACAAAAGATAATTATGCATCGTTTCTGCCACAATTTTTGCAACCTGCAATACAATAAAAAGCATAAGGAAAGAGTGATAATATGCTTTGCAAAGGCAAGAGTCTAGTAAAAAGAACTTTATTAGAATGAAGTCAACCTCTGGTGACTCAAATTCTATGAAACCATAATGTTTGGATTTTCCCGTCTGCAAAACATCACACAATTACCACACATGTTAGTAAAGAAAATACTGAATCTAAAAAGAGAGAACAAATGACATGAATTAAAAATTAAGAAACATTCCACATGTGCAGAATGTTAATGAAAGTGGATGCAGTCATGGAGTGAAACTTTCTGAAATACCAGTTTCTTAAATTAGTGAGCATAAAATGGAATTATGCATTCAGTTCCTCAAACACATTTAAAACTTAAACATTATACCACATAAAGAACCAAAAAGATTTTGGAAGCATGTTCAGATGAATAAAATAAGCCACATAAAAAATATTAATAATATCATCACAGAACTGTAACCTGGACAGGATTCCCTGGTTGACAACCTTGACTTAAAGAATACAATGAGCACTAAATAAGCACAAAATCTGGATTATATACATACAAAGCTATCTGGCTGTCAGTGCAGTTATTTAGCAGAGACTATAATCCCAAGATTGTCATAAAATCAAGAACATCTATGTATGACAGTATTCAATACTTTCATATAGGAGTGTGTTTTAACCAAAAAATGATCAGGTTATCTAACCATAGAACCGGCCAATAAGAAGCATAGTAAACTGAATAATGGCAATAAGAACTTAGCTGTGGAAATAAACCCACATTGTTTAGTATTTACTAAACTATCACCGAAATAATGAAACAGAGAGAGAAGTAGAAAGACCAACCTTCCTATTCCTAGCAATTCTAAGCCTCTTAATATCCCCAAATTGCTTAAAAAATCCTGCCAAAAACACCCTGTTAAACTCAGCTTCGGACTTCTTCCAAAAAATCATGTGGATGTTGCAAAATATGAACATAGTAAGCTCATACATATTAGATTATAACAAGATAAATGCAAACCTTCCATTTCATTTTCATAGAATCCATGTGGAATTCTTCCGATATACAAAACTGTTGCTCTAGTGTCTTTTGGTTTAGTGATGGGAAACTTCTTTGCTGGTCCACCTTCCAACGGCTACTTATCCAGAGAGAGAAAAAGTCAGTTATATTCATAGAGTTGTAGATACAATGAATTTCTTTCTTTATGTATGAACAAGGTTAGAAAAGTTATTCAAGCACATGTGGCTGGTAAGTGATTAGGAAGTTTCCATTGCTGATAAAAACATATTTTTTACGAAGTATGCTGGTGAGCACTGACCACTAAACACCAGTCGGTTAGCAATCTAAAAATATGCAATTCGACACAGGGATTTAAAATTGTGATATCAAGCAGGCGTCATATACACCTATAACCGAAAAATGGAACACAGCAAACGTAGAAGATGAAGCGGGTGCAATACCACAAAATCGGGAGCCTCGTCCCTGGAAGTTACAGAAGCGGCCAATTGCAATGAACCCTTCTTCACCATCTTCATTTGAGCCTTCTTTGCTTTAACTCCCATCTCTACCTATACCTTCCGGCACTTCTTATAGAGAGCTTTGCGGCTGCGACTGAAATCAAGCGCCGAAAGAAGGAAGAAGAGATGCTCCAGAGAAGGGCGATAAATAGAGCGGGGGAGGAGGAGTAGAGGGAACAACAGAAGAATAGGGTTTTTTATATAAAAGGGAAAACATTTTTTTATAATAAAAATACGGAGTATTGCGTAAAACATAGAGAAAAAAAATTCAACCGTGATTTTATTTTGAAAAGAGAATAATATTAATACTCTTCTGATCTATTTGCAACAGTTTCTGCTTTAAAAAAAAAAATTAATAAAATGGGAAGAAGTTATTAAATAAAAGCTGTTAATGTTTAAGAAAGAAGTGATTTTGAAAAGTAAAAATTGATAGTGTTTAGTAAAATAAGTACTTTTTGTGTAATAGAAAAAGTAAAAGCATTTTTGATACGAAAGCCGAGAAAAATAAAAGTTGGTAGTGTTTAGTCAAATAAGTGCTTTTAAGTCAAAAACTGAGAAGTGTTTTTTAAAATCATTTGCAAACCAACCCTTAACAGTCTCCTATTCCTTTATGGGATGTTTTATTACTATTACTTCTTTCTCTTTCCTACTTTTTCATTTATCCACAACTCACTACACCTTTTACACTACTCATATTTTCCTTTTAAAACTCGTGTCAAAGCCTGACAGGACAGATAATAAAGAACGAAGGGAGTATTATTTATGCATTTTTTCTATGATTTAATCTGATTTAATTGATTTTCTCGTAATTATATAATTTCTCCATTTAATTAAAAACATTTTTATTTTATTACTGTTTCCATCTCACTAACATTTGGACATGAGATGTGGTGTGATTATTAACACAAATGGATTTATGTGTTTCACACGAAGTATTAAATTGCTTAAGTAAGAATAAAAGAAAAAAGATTTAGAACTAGACAAATTTTGAACAATCTTAATGTAATGAAACCAAAAAGAAGGATGAAATAATTTTAGCGAGAATATGATTTATCTACATACTCTATTCTGATTGTATATTTTATTAGTTAATGTAATGAAAGATGTATGTATTTTGATCGTATTTTGATGATAATTTGATTTATATTGTCTCAATATAAATTGTTAAATAGTTAGAATGTTTTTAATTGAAATGATTTCAATCCAAATCAAATCAAATCAAATCAAACTAGATTAGATTATACTTTACAATTGTAAGAAACTAGAATAATCGAACACACATTTAATAGGATAATCAGACCAAATTAGATTAGCACATTAAAATAATTAAAAACACCCTTAGTCTTTTAAAAAATACTAATAAATAATTAAGGAGTAAAGGGTCAGTTTGGTCCTCGAAGTTGCAAAAAAGGCGTCAAATAAGTCCTTATATAGAAGATTCTGTCTGGACGTGCCACTTGAGGTGGCTCCCGGTGGAATTTTGTGATAAATTTTTTTGAGCATCTTATTCATTAAGTCTAGTTTACTCATACCAAATTTCAGCTAAAAATTCAATCGGGAAGACATTCAAATGAATTCTTGAAGATAACAGCGCTTTTAACGGCACAGTTATTTTCAAGAATTCATTTGAATGTCTTCCCGATTGAATTTTAATCTGAAATTTAGTATGAGTAAACTAGACTTAATGAATAAGATGCTCAAAAAATTTCATCAAAAAATTCTACCGGGAGCCACCTCAAATGGCATGTCCGGACAGAATCTTCTATATAAGGACTTATTTGACACCTTTTTGCAACTTCGAGGACCAAACTGACCCTTATCCCAATAATTAAGTATGAGGTATACTAAAAATAAAAAAATGTACACTATAAATGTAGAAAAATTAAATTTTTCGCTTTGACAAAATCATAGGTGTTTCAGTGTTTGATTTGATACCTTTATGGCAAATTCTACAATACATTTAAGGTACATATCATATCGGCATGGATTAATTAATTAGAATCATCATCATTATCCGAGTGTTGCAAAGGCTCCATCATCGGGTATAAGGTGTCGGATGCACGCAGTCTTACTCGTATACTAAAGCACAGACATAGTGAAAATCGTGTCGAAAATTGCATGTACCGATTTTTGTTTCATAACAACGAAGCGCAAACAGTTTATTAAGTCATTTTACTTTATTCCATCATATTCTAAAGTCAAAAAATAGTGAGTCTTTGGCTCCATTGTAAAAGATGGAAAATGGATTAATTAGAATATTGTAATTAAACACTCCGTAATTTAGACATAAATAGATGATCGAATAAATAAATTGAGTCAATTAAATGCATGATAGATATCATATCCTCATTTTACCAACGGACCATTCTTTTTTAGGATAAATTCAAAAGTAAAAAAAATTGATAGAAAGTAAAAGAAAAAACTTACGGGAGTGTTTGCAAATGTTTTTGCTTTAAAAAACATTTTTTGAAGTGATTTTGGAAAAAGTGATTAATAGTAAAAATTAATATTGTTTGGAAAAAAAGTGATTTTGAAAAATAAAAGTTGGTTACGTTTGATAAAACATGTGCCTTTTGTGTAATAAAAAAAAAGTAAAAAGCGGTTTTCAACCAAAATCCGAGAAGCGTTTTTTAAGCTTTTGCAAACAGACGTGTAGTATCTGTTTTTTTAGACCACTATACTTGAAACTGCCAATTTTTTTCTACAACCCTCAAATTGAATTATTTTGAATGATCTTCATTCTTTATTATAATTCCACAAACTCATTCTTTATTATAATTCCACGGGAAAAGGTGCAAATAGGCCCATGTACTAACCAAAAAAGTTCAAATAAGCCCTTATTTAGGAGGTTCTGTCCGGCCGGCGTCATTTGGGGTGGTTCCCGGTGGAATTTTTTGAGCATCTTATTCATCAGGTCTAGTTTACTCATATCAAATTTCAGCTAAAACTTCATTCCAGAAGGCATTCAAATGAATTCTTGAAGATAACTGTGCGTCTAAGTGTGAAGTTATTTTCAAGAATTCATTTGAATGTCTTCCCGATTGAAGTTTTAGCTGAAATTTGATATGAGTAAACTAGACTTGATGAATAAGATGCTCAAAAAATTTCATCAAAAAATTCCACCGGAAACCACCCCAAATGACGCCGGCCGGACAGAACCTCCTAAATAAGGGCTTATTTGACCTTTTTTGGTTAGTACATTGGCATATTTGCACCTTTTCCCTAATTCCACAAACACATACTACTTCCGTCCCAAAAAACTTTATCATCTGACAAAATTTGGACCGGATAAGTATAATCTTATGGAAGTTATAAATTTTATACTTTTGTAAAAGTATTTTTAACAAAGAATATTTTCACACCATTTTTGTATTAGAAACAATTTTTAATAAAAATATATACTTGGGCAACATTTTTTGGGAGTAAGAAAGATCCTCTTATTTACACGCACATAATCCTTCAATTCTTTGAAACATATACAGTTAGACATTTAGGGAAATCTGCCTCTATTGTTTTACACATTTCTGAGAGAGAACTCTCCTACAAGAATACAGCCACTGTTAATGTGAGTTACCACTTACCACAGAAGTACAAGTTCCAAAGTTATTGAGTAAACTTCAATTTTACTATCTGTACTTGAAGAAATAGGAACAAAAATTTTATGACACTACATAGTTTGCACTTTCTCCTGAGACTTGGCCACCAGCAGCAGCACATGAGAGTGCCCCAATAGAATCCATGTAAGCCCCTCCGATTGCAGATTCCAACTTACACATGAAAGAGTTATCAGAATCACCAGAAACTCTTCTGGTCTTCAATTGGGTAGCAATCACAACAACATTATCATTATCCACGACATCGACTTCGTACAACTCCTCAAAAACACCTTGAAACTCGTTTATTAGTGTTTCATGGAATCCCTTGCTCAAAGAGATGACATTGATGATGATAACTCCATGCTCACTTAGAAGTCTCTTAGCTGCCAGAAGGATAGGTTTCTGAATAAACTCAGGTGGGGGTGCACTTGTTTCCATTCCAGCGCAGCTTGAGTCAAGATCAACCATAATGGCATCAAATTTGCCATCTATATTGTCCAGAATACTATCTTTTCTGGCATCAGTGTCTAGTTTTCTGATCATATCCATTCCATCTCCTATACATAAACGAATTGATTCACTGTCTTTCAGACCAAAATATTTTCTTGCAATTCTCAAGACAGACTCATCCTCCTCAACACCTAAAACTTCAAAGTTCAACTGGGAATTCAAGAAACTAAGTAATGCTCCTCCTCCAACCCCCAAACACAATGCTTTGGGCCTATATCCCCTTTGTATTCGCTCGTCCAGATAAGAAGCAATTACAGATAGCCCAGCCACCATTGGGGTCAAATAAGGATGAACTAAAACCCCATTATCAACTATGAAATTCACTGTTTCTAACTCATCAAAATTGGGCGAATCAGGGTGAATTCTTATCTGAGTTTGGATTAAATGAGGCATTCTCTTAAACCGAAGCCTCCTTCGAAACTCCCTATCACCATCTACCGCTTCCAGCTCTACATCCTCCACCACCATTTCACCAACATGATCTCCAATACAAGTCTCTAACACGTGGCTACGGACCACCTCATCTTCGTAGGTCAGGAATGGGATTTCCGGAGGCCGGCTATCTGTTTGATGAAATGATTCTTTGGGACACAACGCGAACAGAAGAGGCATCAACATATCTTCTATCACCGATGTCTCGGAAGATGAATCTGTGTGCAATGGGGGCTTATATGAAGTGGTTTGTGCGGGATCGGGGCAGTTTCCGATTAGAACAAGGCGGGAGATTTGGGGGAATGAGAGGATGAGTTGGAGGCTGCCGGACTCGGTGGAGAAGGCCCAGTCTGATTCGCGGCGGAGAGGGACCAACATGGCGGCGATTGTTGTTGGTGAGGTAGCAATCGGCGAATCGATGACCGCTATGCGAAGGAGAGAGGCGGTGAAGTGGTTATGGTGGGGATTTGGGAGCGTGAATGTGATGTAGCGGGAAGGGACTATGGTTTCGAATGCTGCCGGGTCGAGCGCCATTGCTGAGGGCTGAACCGCAGAAGGCTCGAACCAGAGTCCTTGATTCCTGTCGCAGTTTTTTGCTGACATGTAAACAAATTATAGCATTACTATTTACTGAATCAAATGGGCATGCACTGATTTACTATACAATTAGGAATCACATCAAAGCTTTTATCTTATTCTACTTAGGGGAGAGCATAACCCGAACCGACCCGAAAACCCGTTCGAATATACCCTTACTATCCCCACCGGGTCGGGTGACCCGAACCCGAAAATCCAAACCGAACCCGTTTTCCTTAGGGTTTCAGGGTCGCGGGTCGCGGGTAGGGTTTAAAATTCGCTACCCGACCCGCCCGAAAAACCCGAAACTCCAACTACTATATATACTAGTTATTTAGGGGTAACCCACTCTGTAACCCTAATCCTCTTCATCGCAGACCCCTTCTCTCTTCAATACCTTCATCGCATATCCCTTCTCTCTAATCTCTCGTCAATCCGATCTCTCTCATTCACCCTTCGGGAGTCCGGCACTGATAGTTCATTATCTGGCTTGTCTCTGACTCTCTGCCTTTCCTCTCTGGCTTGTTGTTCCTCTAGTTTGGACTGGTGGAAGCTTAACAATGGTGGAAGCTTAACAACGGCTGAAGCTTAGAACAGTGGAACGGTGGAAGCCTGCGACACTACGAGTCTACGAGTCTGTTGTGAGGTATAAAAGTTTGACTTTATAAATTATTATGGTGGTATAAGTGGTATTATACTATGGTGGAAGCCTGGAAGCTCGAACCCTAGTCCCTAGATATGCCGTGTTATACTGTTCTTGTCTTTTGATATGTATTACTTGTGTAATTGTGACTCACTCATTCATGAATTGTGGAAGCCTATTTGGTATTTACAATGGATTTGTTAAATGTTAGCCTCATTGCCTCAATGATACCTCTGTGTGCCTACTTGACTATGGCTTTGTAATTTGTGATGCATATGTGAGATGGTGATACCTCGTTTTGACTTTTTTGATACCTATTTCACTGTGTTCTGTGGATTTGTAACATGTGAATCATGTGATGCATCTGTCATGCATGTTAAATACTTAAATGTGAGCTTCATGCCTTGATACATATGTGATAAGTATTTTGAACTACTGAGTACTAAATGACAGAATGAGATGATGGCTGAATATAATTTTCTGAGTAAACATGATGATTTGATGATTCATATTTCACATATTCTGGCTCACAAGTGTTGAAGTTACCTTTTTGTACTCAAACACTCAAACGAGTAGTTAGAGTGAACTGGTATCTTCTAAGTCTGTAGAGAAGACAATAAGCATAATGCTTATATCCTTTTGTAGATCACATTGTTGATTATTTCAGACTTTACTGTGCTATGTAGAAGTATTTGTGATTGTCAATATGTGATAATGTCATTTATGTGTTCATTGTTCAATGTGTTGACTGCATGTCTGCATTGAAGTATTTGAATTGTCTATCATTATCAGAATGGAAGGTCAATGTATTGATACCATACCTGCATCTGGTTCTCAACCTCCTCTGACTCCTATTTCTCAAGAACCTATGGTGGAAGCTCATGATGCTGGGCCTAACACCAGCACTCAACAGACACATGTTGTTGATGTGCCTGTTTCTGGAAAAAAGAGAAAGGAGGTAGAGTCCAGATCCATAATATGGGAATACTTTGACAAGATAAAAGATAATAAAGGTGTCCTTATCAAAGCAAAATGCAAACATTGTGCCAGAACATACTGTTGTCAGTCTAAGAAGCATGGCACTTCCTCTCTTAGAAATCACATACTGAACTGTCTGAAAATTCCTTGCTCAAAAGATACTAGGCAAGCCCTTCTCAGTTTCCAACCAGTCTTGTGTAATCCAACACCTGAAAATACTGGAGTGTTAGTGAATTGGGTGTTTGATCAAGTTGTAGTTAGGAGAGCACTTGCTGAAATGGTCATAACTGATGAACTTGCATTTAGATTTGTAGAAAGGCAAGGGTTTAGGAAGTTTATGGCTATAGCTTGTCCTAGGTTTCAAATTCCTTCTAGATGGACAATTGCTAGGGACATCTATCAAATATATTTAGATGGGAAGCTGAATATGAAAAGGTACTTTAGGGAGCACACACAGAGGGTCAGTATAACAACCGACACATGGACCTCTGTACAGAGGATCAACTACATGTGTATAACTGCACATTTTATTGATCATGAGTGGAAGCTGAAAAAAAAGATCATCTCCTTTGTTCCTGTGACTTCCCATAGAGGAGAGTACCTAGCCAAAGCTCTAGAGTCTTGTTTGCTAGATTGGGGATTGAAATATATCTTCACCATAACTGTTGATAATGCTAGTAGTAATGATACTGCAGTAGGTTTTTTTAAGAAAAAACTTTTATCTTGGGGTGCATCTTCTGTGAAAGTAAAGTACCTTCATATGAGATGTATTGCTCATATCCTAAATTTAGCTGTGCAAGATGGTTTAAAAGAAGCTGATGGTTCTGTTCAAAGAGTAAGAGATGCTGTTAAGTATGTTAGAAACTCACCAGCTAGGTTACAAAAATTCAAGGACATTTCAGACTTGATTGGAATGCAGACTAAATCTGGATTGCACCTAGATGTCCCAACTAGGTGGAATTCAACTTATCTCATGCTGAAAGCTGCACTGTCAAATGAAAAAGTTTTTGAAGCTTATGAGGAGACTGAGACTTCCTATTCTATTGATCTGCAACATGAAACTCCTGATGTAGAGGATTGGCTTGCAGTTGAAACTTTGGTAGATGTACTAAAAAACTTTTATGAAATGACCCTTAGGATTTCTGGCTCTCTCTATGTGACTGCTAATACCTTCTTCTCTGAATTATCTGATCTGTTCCTTGTTCTCAAAGATATGGAAGCTTCTAAAACTGATTCTGTGAAACTAATGGGGACTAATATGAAAGCCAAACTGGATAAGTACTGGGGTGATCCAGAAAAAATGAACATGCTTATTTTCTTTGCAAATGTCCTTGACCCTAGGGATAAATTTGAGTACATGCCCCATCAATTAATTGCTTTGTATGAGGAAAAGACAGGCAAGGCCTTCTTTGAAAAGATAAAGTTGGGTTTGAATGAGTTGTATAGTGATTATGTTACAAACTATGAGTGCTCTATTAGTGGAAGCTCCCTTTTAACCCCAAATGTGGTTCCTTTGCAATCTGAATCAACCGGAGATAGGCCTGTCTCCAGATTGAAAGCCCAATTGAAAAAACAAAAACAAGACAGTGGGGTGTTAGGCTTGAAAAAAACTGAACTTGAAACTTATTTGGGTGAGAACATAATTGAGGAGGATAGTGAATTTGACATCTTGAGATGGTGGAAGCTTAATGGTGAGAGGTTTCCAATTTTGTCTATTTTGCTGTTCCTATTTCCACAGTAGCTTCTGAGTCCACTTTTAGTACAAGTGGAAGAGTGTTAGACTGCTTTAGGAGTTCATCGAGTGCCAAAATTGTGGAAGCCCTCATATGTGCTCAAGACTGGTTAAGGATGTCCAATCAGCCTGTCTCAATAGAAGAAAACATTGAAGAGGTAGAGAGGTTGGAAACAGGTACAAGCTTAGAGCTTTTACACATTATTTTTTGAAAATTCAGATTTTGACTTATTGTTATTTGCTAACTTAATGTTGTGTTTTAAATGCAGAATTAACTGATGGTAATGTTGGTGGAGGCCCTTCTCTTGACCAGATAATAGTAAAACTTTTTCTTTATCTTTTAAATATGTAATATGTTATTTCACTAATGATATGTTGTGCTATGATTCTGTCATTCTGTCAATGATGTGCCTGCAAAAGCATAAACCTGCTGATACGATGGTATATGGAAGTGTTGCTGTTACACTGGTACAATTTCACCTATTAGTGTGCTTGTACAAGAAGACATGGTAATCTTGTTTATCTCTATACTAATTGATTACTGATTAAGTGTTGCATATGTTGGCAATGATGAACGCTTCCACCAAAAATTGAAATGAATGGGTTGGTATTGATTCTATATGTATATAGTTTTGTATGCCCCCATTTTTTGTGAAGTAAATAAGCAATCTGAGCCTAAATTTATGCATCTTACTTGCTGCCTTGCTGGAACTATTGGGATTTGCAATTTTACTAGTTGATTACTTATTAAGTGTTGCATAGGTTGGCAATGATGAAAGCTTCCACCAAAAATTGAAATGAATGGGTTGGTATTGATTCTATATGTATATAGTTTTGTATGCCCCCATTTTGTGTGAAGTAAATAAGCAATCTGAGCCTAAATTTATGCATCTTACTTGCTGCCTTGCTGGAACTATTGGGATTTGCAATTTTACTAATTGATTACTTATTAAGTGTTGCATATGTTGGCAATGATGAATTGATGATAGCTTCCACCAAAAATTGAAATGAATGTGTTGGTGTTGATTGAATTATATATAGCTTTGTCAATCTGTGATTCTGAGCCAACTCTGATGTTATATAGTTTTTAATTTTGATCTGATACCTCCCAACTCCCAACAGTCAAGTCTGTGTTTTCATGAAACTTATAGTTTTCCTTGTCATGTACATAGGAAGAAATACAATGATTAACTATGTGGCTGGCTGACTGCTGCTTGCTGGTCTGCTCCAAGATGGAACAAGGAAACAAGAAACTAGAACTAAACACTTCAAGGCTTCAAGTTGAATGTTGTTCAAATTTGCCATTTGCCAATTTTTGCTACTTTCTATATGTTTTGTTTATTGTGTTGGAAGTTTGGAACTGCATAATGTAGTTATGTTTTTGGTTTTTGGTATTGGGACTTGTCACTTTGGAGGTTGTCACTCTAAACCCCTTCTTTCTCGCTAATTGCTATACTCTGGCAACTTTGTAGTCTGCAGCCTTGCAGTTATGGTAGTCATATACTCATATTATGTAATTTTTTGTATGTTATCAATTTATTATGCATGCATGTTATTATATGTCAGGTACAGTGGTACTGTTAGTCTGTTACCAACTTACCATATTAGGACATTTATAGAGTTATAGTGTTACTGACTTTAATGGTTTTTAAACGCA